TGTGTAAATGTCCTTAAAGTAGTGCCATCCCACCATTGAGAGGTAGGTAGCACCACCATTGGAGGTGTTCGGGTCAATTCGAGGTTCGGGACATGGTGACCACCAGAGCAATGGGAAGACACCTTAGAAGCTACCCTCATGCCAGGTTCCCGGATCATGAGGACTTACTAAGACGTCCTCTACTCGACGATCACCTTTCGAGGCAAGGCAACAGTGAGGCGTACCCTAGGGGTGGTGTGTGAATTGTGTGTCATTTTCAGTTTATTGTTTGTCTTGTCATGCATTGGTGATCTACGCTTTGATTTTATTTTTGGGCATTCATTCTTTCATGTTATTGTTTAACAGTTAAAGGTGCGGGAATTTAAAGTGCGGAAAAGATAAAGGTCCTACGCTATTACAAAGGCGCGGGTCTACAACGCCAAATTAATCCAGACCCGATTTAAAATAAAATGCAGAAAATAAATGTATAATAGCTATTACAGGACTTTGGAACAAGTACATTATATTCACAAAAGAAATAAATAAAACGCGCGAACAAAAACGTAATCGAATGCGAGGGCGTTGAACCCTTTGAAGGAATTTAAAATAATTAAGTTAAAATAATTAAGTTAAATAAAAAGAAAGAACTTATTTTTTATATTTTTTGTATTTATGACATTAAAGAAAATTAAATTAATTAAAAGTCAAATAATTAATTCTAATTCTAATCGTTTTTAATTTATTAAAGAAAATGCATTAAAGTTAAAACCTAGAATTTAAACTAAATTAATTATAAAACACTACAAGAAAATTGGCAGATTGCGACAGGTATTTTTGTAGATTACGACGGTTAAAACCGTCGCAATTTGCTTTCCACGACGGTTGCTTTACCGTCGCAGAAGTGTGTGTCCCCAACCTATTTCGCGACGGTTACAAAAACTGTCATTCAAGTTTACGACGGGTTGATACCGTCGTGACTATTTTTTGAGTTTCTTTTAATTATTGATGGCGACGGTTCGATACTGTCGTGAATATCTTTTGAAATTGATTAAATTGTTTATGGCGACGGTTCGATACCGTCATGACTTTTGTTGATTACGACGGTTCGGTACTGTCGCCATGACTTTTGTTTATGTCTTGATTTTTTTTTTTATTTTTCTATTATATATATTTTTTATTTAAATTATTATCTATGTAAAAAATTTTAAATATAGTTTTTTTTTGTGTTATTTTTTTCTTTAAATTATTTCTTCTTTAATATATTTATTTATAGTATTATTTTTTGTTTTATTTTCTATCACTTTGTAATATAGTAAAAATAATTTCAATAAAAAATATTTAACATCAAATAAGCATTATAATATCCAAAAAAATGTGTGTTCCATAATCATGTAAAATGCGAGTTCCATAATCATGTCAAGTAGTACAAAAAACCCAAAATATATCAATTCCTAATCTTATAATAATAAGTATCATTATGCCAAAAATACATGAGAAAGTTCACAATCTAATTATCTCGATCATAGCAAAGTCTAATTTGTCCCCCCTGAAGTTCCATTATCTCCAATACGATAGCTAGACTCAGATGAACGTCTACCATCAGCGGGTGATTCCAATCCCTAAAAAAAGGTATTAAAATAATAATCTTTAAAATAATACTCATAAAATTTAACTTTAAATGCGTCAAATTAATATACCTGTCTTCCATTGGAATAGAGTTAGCAGTACCTCATGTAAAGGAAGGTTCAACCCAAGTTCAGACGAAGTTGATCGCAAATTGGCAAATCGTCGTAAATCCCTTTCGACTATACATGGAAGGATATATCCATCTATTTCATGAACCAACAATCAGCATTTCAAACAACTTCCAAATTTTCATCCAAGAGGTAGCATATACCAATTCTTGACTAAGACTAATGACATGACTCGGAGCAAAAATTCTTGAGTTACAAGAATAAGCATTTGAAATTAGATAAAGTACCTGTTCTCTCCGAAGGCCATTCGAAGTATACAGCGCATATATGATGGAGCTTAGTACGTTGAAATGGATACTGAGAATGAGCCCTACAGAAATTTTTGCAAATTCTTATTTTAAGTGCGTATCTAATTAGTAACCAGATTCAGAACTATAGCAGATAAACTTTACCATTAACATATAGCTTTCGTAGGTTCTGATTAGTATATTCTAAATTCCAATCAATATTGAGTATAGTAAAGGAACTGGAAGCAATGAATTAAATAACATACTTGAGCACAAAGTCTGAATCAGCTGAGTGGCATTTTGGCTTCAAATAAGCATCAATCACTTGTAAAATGGTATCGTCCTTTCCTATATTATTTTTAGCTCCTGCATAAACAAAAAAGATAGAAAAAATGATTAAAAAAAGTTGCAAAATGGAACTAAAATGCAATATAGATATGACAAGGGTATATATACCTTTTCTTTTTTTCACCCATCCAAGTCCTTCAGAAGCAAATTTTTTTAGAACATCTTTCTCCCCAATTGATTTTACTATCTGACAAGCTAACTCCTACAATAAAACCATGGAAACAATCATGCAAAAGCACAAGCAACCATATAATATGTAAATATTCAACCCTGCTAAACAACAAGAGGTGAAAAGGCAAAAAGTAATATGATCATGAAGGATGTGTTTAAGGACTTACCGAACCTAAACCATGAACTCCTTGATGATAGTCACTGCCGAGAAGCAAAGAGAGAGCAATCTGAAGATCATGGGTTACTCGGTTACTGATTTTCACCAGAACAAGAACTCAATACCCTTGAATTTTGAATTGACAAGAAACAACGAAAGATCGTCTAAGAAAGCATTGTGACTCTTATGTTAAAACATCAATCAGAAATTTACCAATGAATCCCATCCCAATCCAAGTTTATTTTCAATCTCTGCCATCTCATAACATACAACATATCCACCATCTCCTAACTCATTAATAAAAAAAAATTCTTGTAAGTCATATGAAAGTACAAAAAAATCCTTAGAACTTATACGAAAAATACAATTAGCACAAAAATATATTCAACAATAATATTTAAAAACGAAACCAAATGATATACTCACCAAGGCAGATTTCCCTGTACACTGTCCTTGCACCAAAGAGAAATATATCTGAATCTGAACTGAAACATCCATCCTATAATTCTCAACAATGAATGACAACAATCATGATATTAGCAAACAGCAATAGTACTAGTATCCCAAAAAAACTGATAATTACAAAGTAGACAAGTGCTTACGCATAATGATTCAGAGTTCAACAAAGCACACTGTGCTTCAGCTTCTTCAATCCTGCATTTTCGAAAAAGAGCAAGATGCTATCAGTTCAAATTGGTTCTTTAGCATCCATCAATGCAACTTGTTCAATCAACTTTCAAGAGGAATAAAAATTCGATAATATCATTTCTAAATAATATATGTTTAGTACCCTACATACAAATTTTAATTTTTTATTAGTCCATAAATAAATTTGAACATCAACAATTCCGGAAAAATATGATAGCATTCTTTAAAGCAAAACACCATCAAACTGTAACTTCTATTAAATATTACCCATTCAAACAAGAGACGCCGAGAGCCATCCCCAAGGCTTTAGCCTCTTTAATCATACATGAAAACTCAGACCCCAAATTTCAATTCCAACCTCTTCCTTTATTATTATTTCCTTGTGTGTCCCTTCATCTTCTACTTCTAATCATATCATCATGGACATAAACAATTGTCGCAGACAAGTTGCTGCAATGAAACAGTCATTGTTTGATCAGGTATATATATAGAATGTTATTAGACTCTTGTAGTCTTGATTAATATTGATGGCTAGCTAGTTAGTTACCTAAGTAATAATGAAATATGCAGGGGCTTCTTGATGAACAATTTATCCAACTTGAAGAATTGCAAGATGATGCTAATCCTAATTTTGTTGAGGAAATTGTCACTCTCTACTACCGCGATTCATCTAGGCTTATCTCTAACTTGGAATAGACACTGTAAGTTTATAATAGTGTGTTAATTCCATCATAATTTTAAACTAAATTGGTGTCATTTTTGTGCATGTGGAAGGGAGAGGAATCCATTGGATTTCAACAAACTGGACACAATCATGCACCAGTTTAAAGGAAACAGCTCAAGGTATATATCATCACCTCAGGTGTAAAGTATGTTAGTTGAACAATGATTTGAATAAAATAGTGATTTGTGCAGCATTGGGGCCAAAAAGGTGAAAGCAGAATCGACTCTAATTAGAGAATATTGCAGGACAGGAAATGCAGAAGGGTAATGAAACATGCATTAAATCTAAGTCATTTATTTATGGAATATGATTCCTAACAATGGTTGTTGTTGTAACATACTCAGGTGTAGGAAGAGCTATCAACAAATGAAGAAAGAATATGTAGCTTTGAGAAAGAAACTTGAAAATTATTAGGAGAGGAAAGGTCAGAACAGCGCCATAAGCACTCTATCTAAGTCTAATCCTCCTAAAAGCTATAAGTACAACCTACCGAGAACCAAAACAAACAACCACATTCACAAGAACCCTCCATATAATCCATTAATTCAACTGGAAGACTAAAAAGCAACACCCCACTTTCTTCCAGATCACTCTACGTCAAACAATATTACAGCAACAACATCACAACATGTCTCAAAAACTGCATCGCTACCAATATCACTGTGGCATTTACCAACAACTTCAACACCTGCTACTTAACTACAATTGAAACTCAAGTAACTTATTAACTATTGATTATATATCTATATCCAATGGCAACCATAAATACGAAGAACACACATTGTATGGATTGCAATGTAACAAATAGCAATGAACTAGGGTTTTAAAAAGGTCTGCCACCTGCCACTGCAATTTCAATTGTGACAGCAAGGTTTTTGATATATGGACTGCAGTGTGCCTCAATTCATGACTATAACCGCAATGAAAAACCAAACTCAATAAATAAATAAATAAAAATTTGAAAAGTGAGGAAAAGATGATTACCGTGATAATCAACCAGCAGGATTAAGAGCCATCATCATGTTGTTTCCACCAGGAAGATAAGTAACATTAGGCGATTTCGCAAGCGTTCCAGCAACTTCCCTGGAAGCTTCAATCCTCCTAAGCTCAACCAACCCCATCCCAGCCGCAGCAGTAGCCTCGGAAATCAATATAGCAACGTCACTCTCTCCTTCAGCTCGAATACCAAAAATAAGTGAATGCAACAGACATAATACCAATCATTATATCAGTTAACAACCCTACAACACATAAAATCGGTTCAGGAATACCATAAAAAATAGTCCACTCATTCAGAAAATTAAAAAAGGCTAATGCATAGCAAAACTGATTCAGTCAATCACATAGATTCAAGTCAATTTAAATATCCACTTCACAAACCTAATCCCTCACATAACAATTTCTAACAACTTTAAGCTAACAGTTATCCATTTCAATTGATATTCCTAACAGTCAGGCCCTAATAATATTGACGATTTTAACTCTTTTTCACACTAACAATTAGCTAACTCAAATTACAATCAGCAACTAACTCTCAGTTTCATTCAAATCTAAAGCCATCCCATCCTAATAGCCAACTATACACAACCTCTCTACAATATTCTACACAGCTTCGTCAACCTTCATCATCAATGGCATCATCGCGACTTCAAGCTTGAAGCATTCCCTCTATTTCAACACCAATCACAACAACAAACTTCAATAATTGAATTGTACCGAATCAATAGAAAATACGTGTGAATCGGAAATAATAGAAGAATGAGGAATTAAGAATGCATACCTGAATCACGATTGAAGCGTTGGCGGAGTGACTCCGACGTGTAAGTATTCTTTCTTCTCTCATCATTTTTGTGATGAACTCCACTAATCAAATTAACCTCATTGAAGAAATGATCCACCCATTGCGTCGAGTTAAAACTAAGCCTTTTAACAGCCACAGTATTACCATCTGGCATAACTCCCTAAAATGAAAGGAAAAATCTATAAGCACTTAACAACAATAAGGTTGTAAGAAGTTACAATAAGATAAGATCAGAATATACTTTATAAATTGAACCTGATCCTCCTTGTCCTAGCTTATTGTCATCATTGAAGTAATTTGTTGCTTTTTCAAGAATTTCATATGGAACATTTAGCTTGGATTTATTCACTGTATCCAAAAGTGTCCCAAATTGTTTTCTCTCTAGTAAAAAAACACACACACATAGCAATAACTTTTAGCACAAGTATTTTGGAAAAAATTAATTCCAGTCTTTAAATATTAAACATGTGTACCTCTTCTTTTCCTCATTACATTCTTTCTTATAAAGAAACCCATTGTTGCAGTAACCAAAAGAAGAGCCAAGACAGCAGAAGATGCAGCCAATATTATAGCCATTTTTCGGTGTCCTAAAACACAGTTTCAAGCTTCAATCATGTTCTTATCATAATACTGACCATGGTTATAAATTGCGGTCCGCAACGCAATTGCGGCTGTAATATTGCTAATGCAGTAGCTTCCACAACCGTATTAGACTGCAATTGCAGTGTGATTTAAAACCACGCGTCCGACTATATTATGAACCGCATCTAACAATGTCGCTCAAGTTTCTTCAAGTATTTTCACCAAAACTAAAAATTTCAAAACCTCACTATGTAATGAAAAATCTTAAGATTAAATGTTTTTGGTCTATTTCAAACCCCTCAATCAAAATTCACACTGCAACGACCACAATGCACATTGCGGCAACCATGTCACAACACCCGCAACTGCATCAGTGATTGCAACCGAACTTTAAAACCATGATTCTGATATTTTAAACTACTTTACATTAACAAAAAATACAATGAACAAAAATTCAAGATTATGAACAAGTTCAAAATGGTAAGTTTGGCATAATCATGCTACTGTAATTTTGATGAAATCAATACTTCAAAGTTTCGACGAAATCAGATTACAACCGTGACTATGCACAATTCATGGCTAACCGAAAGAAAAAGAGATCATAGCTCACCGCGATTTCCAGCAGCAACATCATTACTACTTGAATTGTTATAGAACTTGTATGGTGAATGCCTCAAATAACAACCAGAATTCAAAGCCCGTCCATCTTCTTTCTTCCTACACGAAGAACCAATCCTAGTAACCGCATCCTCCAAACATCTCCGACAGTTACCACCAGTAACAAACTTCCAACACTGAGCCAAACCATACACCGTTACATTCTTCCTCTCAACAAACCCAACAGAAAATCCACCGTTTTTCGGTGCCAACACACTCAAATTCCTCAGCAATTCATAAACATTCGCTTCATAAACATTACTACTTGTTTTAGTTTCATTATTTCCACACACGGTCGTGTCTTGATTACCAAAGACAAATGTGTGATCGCCACATCGTCGAGAAGGATGTTAAAATCCCTAGCACGTCGGACAAGAGTCTCCTTAACAAGGGCAGAAACCTGAGGACGTTCAGTAAGGAGCTGATCAGCATTAAATTGCGCCACAACAGATTTCAGAACTTCGTTACCGATCGAAGGGAGGACTTTCTCGTCGTATTCGAGACCGAGGTTTTGAATGATGACAGGGAGTTTCGCGGTGTCGGGACGAGAGAGGACTCGGAGAGTTAGGTTAACCATTTGAAGATCTTTGGTGCCGGATATTGATGAGAAAGTATGGGGGCGGGTTTTGATATAGAAGATGTAGGGTTTTTGAACCCATGGGATGAGGAAATGGGTTCCCTCGCCGATTGATTCGTCGAGGATGCCGCGGAAACAGAACTTGTTCAAGGAATTCCAATATACTGTTAAAGAAACATTCTAATCGATGTTTTATGAGCTTTTTAACTTTTTTACTGCGACGGGTGTTTTACCGTCGTGCCCATGAGAATTTTTAAAGGTTTTGGGTGCGACGGTTGTTTTACCGTCGTGAAATGAATTTTAGGACGGATAATTTTACCGTCGTGAAAGGTTTAAGGGTGCGACGGGTGCTTTACCGTCGTGATATGCCTTTTAGGACGGTTAATTTTACCGTCGTGACTAGTTGTTGGTGAAAAATCAATGTTAAAAGTGTTAAATGGGGGCCGACGGTTGTTTTACCGTTGTAATAATAATATTATGATGGTTAAATATACCGTCGCAAAATAAATATTAGGGACGGTTGGTGTCAACTGTCGTAAACACTGTCTCTATATGTCAATTACGACAGTTATCACATAACTGTCGCAATTTTTGTGTCGTTAAACACTAATTTTCTTGTAGTGAAATTTATTTACAAAATTAATGGTTGATGATACTTATAATAAAATATTTAATTAATAAAAAAAAAAGGGTAACAAGTGTTAAAGATCTATTTTTATTATTTTTTGGTTTATTGTGAAAAAAGAATTAAATTATAACCTAAAATTAAATCTAAATTAATTATGGGATTTATTTACAAAATTAATATTAAAATAACATATTTATTATTTTTATCTTTTCTGATTTTTTTTTTGTGTTTTTATATTATACGAAAATATTAAATTAAAGCATTTAAAAAATTTAATCAAAACAAAGAAAAGAGAAGAATATATAAAAAAAAGTTAAAAAGAAAGCAAACTAGAGGGGTGCAGCCCAAGTAATTCTGGCCCATTTTTGGAGGCTTTGTTGACTTTTTCAGTCCACGTGTGGTAGCTTTGACTAGGACCCATCATGGTCTTCAGATCTGAGCCTTTGATTTGATCTCCCTGGCTTTGTGAATGGTTTGATGTTGAGAGCGCATGATGTGCCTTGATGCTGATCCTGCATGGAATCACTAAACACAAAATAATATGAGAATATTGAAGACCTGGGGTTCGAACCCAGGTCATGTGCTTTGCCACCACCACGCTTTGCCAGCTGAGCCAGTTTACATATGTTAATATATAATAACTAATAAACATTATAAAAGAAACAACCGTTAGTGGGGGCCTCTGCGCGCGAATTTTAAACTGGCCAATCCATTGACGCCACGAGGTCATCTTCTTCCTTGGTTTTTTATTTTTCTGAAATACAAACAGATTAGGCAACGGTTTGTTACGCGTTCTTTTAGGCCAGTTTTGGAAAAATAACGATTAGCCTAGGAACGCTCATAAATTGAGCGCGAGTATGGATTCTTCTTCGTCCAAGTGTGCTAGTTCTAATGGTGATACTCAGAGGTTTCAATTTTTCCATATCACGAAACGCCCAATTTCAAGCTTCATGAACCCTAATCTGCATCAATGGCATAATAGCATGTAGTACACGAAAACACAATTAAGATAAACGGTTAGCTTCAGAACACCTTAATTAGCATGAATCCATTAACAATATGCAATAAAAATGCCTAAATCTTGAAATACGATTATGCAAAAAAAGTAAGAAAAGTGGGACTTCTGTACAGCGTTTCAAGAGGTTATCTTTGATGTTTGTGATTGGAATACGTCCTATAATACTTGAGGAAGCTAATGGAATAGGTTTTGAGACTTGAATCTCCTTGGAATGTGGTTTTCAGAATTGAGTTTCTTTGCAAAAAGTGTGAGTTTGTTTTGAGCAATAGGGCGCAGCCTCCTTCCCAATTTTGTTGTGTATCATCTGTATATACCCTAGGCAATGTGTTTGGATGAGAGTTATGGCCAATAATTCCTTGCATTGATGTTTAGGATTTTCACATAAACCTCCATTATCACACTTTCCATTTTTGCCTTATTTTTGAATTCTTGCCTTTTTGCTTCTTTGCACGAATTTGGTATAGGCTTAATGATGTTTCAAGGCTAGTTAAGGCCAAATATTTCATTTAATCAAACTTTTTGATTTTTCCTTGATTTTAAAAGATTTAAACTTAATTAAATCCAAGAAAATCAATTAAAAATGAAAAAATTAATTAAAAAATATGAAATAAAAGGTGGGACACGTGGGAAGCATGGCCAAGTTAGTTCAAGTTGAAAAAGTGGGCCCCTTTTGTCAAAAATGAGATTTCAAGGATAAATGATTTTGGCCATTTCACAAAAATTTCCCAACTTCTCCAATGCATAACTTGCTCAATTTTTAAGCTTTGCTCATGTTCTTGGACATTTTGGAAAGGTTTTTGAGTCCTCTAACCAATGCCTTTGGTCCCATGTCATTTTGATTTACCAATATCAAGTTATGGCCTTTGACTTAAAGTCCCTTTTTGTTGACTTTTGAAAATGACCTATAATGTTGAAATTGATAACTTTTTGTGAGAGCATTTCTTGGACTTTAAGTATGAAGATGAGTTGTAGTAAATGTCTTTCTCTTCAAAATGAGCTTTGGATGGAATTTTTCTGATAATCCATGTGAAAGTTATGCCCTGGTCAATTTCAGTTGACTTTTTCAGCTGTCCAAATAAGGAAACTTTTGCATCTTGATGATTTTTGAGCCAAGCTTTGAGAATCATGATCAAGCATTGATCAAATGATGTTTGTGGCTTCAAAATGATATGTTGACCAAAAATTTGAACTTTTGACTGTCAAATGACCATTTTGCCCCTACAGTTGACTGTAGTGCAATTAGGGTTTTTGACTGTGCAATTTTGTGCTGAAAGTCTTGAAACTTGATATGAGGATGCTTGACCATATTTGTAGGCATGTGGGACTTGATTGGGCCCTTGGAAACTTCATTTTCTTGATCAGAACAAAAACCCTAATTTTGACTGCTTAGGAGGCCCTTGACTGTGCAACCCTTGGGGAGGTTTTGAAGCTTGACTTGGCAAATCTTGAAGAATATGGGAGGGCAAATTTTGGGGTACAACACAGGGGAATTAAAACAATGCCAGGAGCGATCAGTTGGAAGCACTGCAGTCTAAGCCGATGACAATGAGGATCCAAATGACGGGGCAACTGGTGGGCCAGATGGCTCTCATCCAGGATTTGTCTCAAAGACAAGAGGAACTCAGAGTTCTCGTCAACCAACTGCTTCGGAACAACCAACTGGGGCGGACATTTGAGGTTGAAGAGCAAGTCACCACTAAACCCCCCTCCAGACAAGAAGACAAGGGGAAGGCTCCTCTACTTGCTTCAGGATCACAACCCCATCAGCGTCAACGAGGTAATCGGCGTAAGCAAGATACGTCGGGAAGACAGTTCACTGAGACTGACATACCGTCATCTCTAATACTAGAGCGTTTGTTGGAGGTCAATCTGACTGCTTTAAGGGATCCTATTCGGAAGCCCAATACCTCCGCTCCTAACTATCATCCCGACGCATTTTGTGTGTACCACTCCTACAGCCCGGGACATGACACCGACGACTGTTGGGCCTTGAAGAACAAGATTCAGGATCTGATTGACATTGGAGTGCTGAGGTTCATGCCAGAAGGAGAGATAAAAATCTTCCGTTAAGGAGTTCTCCACCTGAAGTGACAAAGCTCAAACTGAGAGACTTTTGCTTCATTTGAATTTTCAAAGTTGTAATTTCTTTTGTTATTCAAACAATTAACTGTTAATGTCAAACTTTGTTTCATTAATGCATTGCATATGTTTGTCTTGAATTCATCCATTCGTTTTCACTACTCTTATGCTTTATTTATGATATTTAACTCTTGATAAAAAGTTGCAAGCCTTTAGAGGGAGGATGACGAAACAATACCATAATCTCATACAGTATGCTTTTGAACAGACCTTGCTGATGATGTACAGGCATTTCTTTCAATTCCCAAACACTGGAGTTATAAGGAAGATAATCCCTAGTCAACCCCTTCGAGCCAAAGAAGTAGGAGTTTTTTGTTCCAAACAATCAAAACCTTTGATATAAACCTGGGGCAGGGTAGTCTCTCAGTTAATTCAAAAAGGTGCACATTGAAATCGCAAACTCTCAGTTCGTAACACAACGAACGACAAAAAAAAATAAAAAAATCAAAAGCATTCCTTTGGAATCAAAAGACAGTGATGGTTCCCTATCACATAGGCAGTCAATCTCTCAAAAGAGAAAAGCCCACCAAGCCAAAACCTGTAAAGGAGGCTTAAGAAAGCTGGGGCATCCCGCTGACTGTAATCTCGAAAATGGGAGCAGCCAGGCAAAAGTTAGGGATAACAAATCAAAATCAAAATAAAGAGGTCATTACAAATCCTCAACAACATGAAAAATGTTGCAAAGAAAAAAGGAGATGATGACTGCCTCCCAAATTCAATTGGTGAACCATCACCCCAAAAGTCGTTCCAAACTCGAATAGAGTGCGACGCATAATTAACTGAGCTTAGGGTTGAAGAACATCACGAAGAGCGGGTGGGTACAAATATACTTTGAGCCTTTATCCTTTGTTTCTTAAACCGTGAACCAAGCCACGTTACAACACCTCAAAAGTCCTAATTGAAGCATGGGTTAGTTCGAAAGCATAATGTTACAAAAGGTATTCTGACTCCTGTAAGGCTTTGCTCTAAAATCTTGTGTTGAATTTGTCTTATGAAAAGTTTTCTGCAAAAAAACGCATTTTTCAAAACTTCGAGACAAACATAAACTTTGCATTGCTTAAATATCACTGTTTGCATTTGGCTATTTGTTTGACAGCGAAGAAATTCATACAGCGAATGTTCGGAGGAACGAAAACTCTCTCAGTGAACAGAAATCACTTCAAAAGGATGACACTTCCAACGACAAGTCTCCTATCAACAAAGGGGCATGACATG